ACTGTTATCCTCACGAACTTAACCGTGCAATTTCTAAATCCGCTCTTTCTCCAGCTTCTCTAGTTTAGACAAGATTGAGCGTATTCACCTTAGTTTAGCTAGATTGGGTGCGGCGATACTATATACCTTTGGTACTATTGAGCGAACGCAGCTCATGGTCCACTTGGAACACAAAATGTCTGTTAGCTGTAATTCTCAGAGGTGTATAGCAAAATGAGCTAAAACAGGTAACCGTTCATTATGTCCGTGGATTTCAGACAACATTGGGATTTAGCAGGGTAACGACGCGGCTGCTTGTCCAATAGTAATCTGATTGCTTGGATGCGCCTAACTTTTGTGCCCATAAGTATAGATTTTAAAAAAGTACTATAGTTGACTTGTGCGAAGATAGAGTAAAACCAATCCAGACATCCAGATTTACCTTTGTTCGCTTTGCTCTTTTCAGAGGCGTCGTACGAGCAATGGAAGCGATTTTTATTTGTAGCTCTCAGTGCACTGGGATAGTTGACATATATCAAGAGATTTGCAGCTGGCTTATTGACATCTCTGGAGAAACAGACGCAATCTCAGGTAATACGAAAAATCGGTAAACTTTGTTTACTGACCTCAATCCGGATAAATGTCAGATGATAGTTTCGCCTTATAGCCCCCTGTTAGTGATGCTCTTTCCCTCTGACTCTTACTCGGGATCGAACCCACTGCTGCTAGCTGCTTACGCCAACTAGCCAGCAGCTTATACCACTAGGTCACGAGGGAGGGGGAAACAGATCGGCTGAACTTGCAATCTAATCTAATCACTCCCCCTTACAGTCTGCAAATGATACGCGGACATAACTGCTGTGTAATGGAATTCGTAATCTCGGAGGCCAACCACTGTCTTTTGCAATGGTATGAACCTGTACAGTAGTGCAAGATCAGTTGCGCCATATCACAGTTAGCTTGCGAGTTCAGACAGTCTGTCTCCGTCCCTCATGGCTGACTGGCTACTTGACTGACTGACTACTTGACGTAAGCTGCTAAGGTCCATGGGTTCGAGCCCCAGCAGGGGGCCAAGAGAATGGGCACCACTGATGTGCTCCATTAGGGCAAAACGATCTTCTGGTGTTTCTTCGGATTGGGGTTAGAGAAAGCCGACCTGTGAGCAGCTGGGATAAACCAGGAAAACTTCACATACCATCTTACTCATCCATAATTCTGGATAACTTTGTCGCCTAGCTTATAATCCTGAACCATTTGGTGTCGCAGATGGAGTACTCAAAAATTAATTACGTTATGTTGGTGAAATTTATGCACTGACCATCCATACTTCTTGTCGAGGTGGTCTGATGCTATATGCGCTCGTCTGGTACTTTGACTGATCGACAAACTTTGCTATCATTGGCATAATGTGAACAGTTTAAAGTGATTAAGCTCAATAAATATTTAGGAAAATCAAGAGCAGAGAGGTTTCCGAAAGCGAACCTTCCGGAACACCGCATTCTACTTGAATAGGTTTTGACAAGGATTCGGGAACTTTCAGTTCTAGGCGCCTAGGTAAAAAGAAGTTCATGATTGACCCTGGAAGGGGATCACGAAGGTGGTATCACGGAAGCCTTGCTAGAAGGATATGATGGCCCAGCTGGTCCAGTGTCTTAGAGAATTCCATGCAGCCAACACCGACTTCTAAGTAAACATTCACTGTTGCAGTCAAAATGTCTCGTATTAACAGTGGTTTGATAGTCCACCATCTATTCTGGCAGAAGCCATGTTGCTCTTGCGCGGTGTAGCAAAATTCGTTCGGGTAAAACATGAACGCACAAGCAATTTAGCTTCCATGAATTTGTGAGAAGTGGGAGCAGATTCACTAGACGTTAGTTAGCAGGGTAAGAATGACTGCCCCTTCTGGGAATCGCAGTTGTCATCCCATGTTTCCATGCTGATAGAAGCATCACAACGTCTGTGGAGCCTTTAAATCGGCCGTTGCCTTCTGTTCCCAACACCATTTTTACGTTATTTACTGTAGATAAATCAGTGTTATAAGAATAATGTGAGTGCTCCTTTGTTCAAACCTTTTCCAAGGTCAATACTCTATCCACCGTTTAAATATAAATGTAGGGATACTGCGCACTATTCCCGATCGACAGTTTTTGAACACCATCGCTTGCGTTGGTTGTATTTCGAAAAAGCAGCAGACCAGAGTAGCACCGGAACGTATGTATGGAGGAAACTGTCCGCACACACGCCTATACAATTAAATCGATAGAGGTTCGCATTGCAACCAATCAAATGCAAGCCACATGATAGGCCAACGAGTGCTAAATAGAAGTGTGAGTAGGATAAGCGAATCGAGGGCAAAAACAAAGCAAAGTATTTGAACACGACATTGTCCCCTCCTCTGTTCGTAAAAATATAGGCACTACATGTCCATGAACGATCTAATTTAATGTCAGCACCCCGAAGAATTGTCATGTGGTGTTATCCGTTAAAGCGTATCGGTAGACAGGGCGGCGTATCCGACCGGAACGTCGTAAGTTTGTATTAGTTTGTACCGAGCGCTGTGTTGTAGGTGTGTTCGTCTGTTCAATAGCACGTTGGGAAAGCGCTGTATGCAGCCGTCTTGCATTCACCTTTGTCCCATCAGCCAACTTGTAAGTTCCTGGCGTGCACACAGATTCCACACGGGTCGGCGGTCCGAATACATTACCTCCTTTCCGGGAATAGGGTAGTCTCACACGAACAAATGTCCCTGGAGGATACGTTCTCCCAACGCGTCTATATTTAGCCTGGTAAACAGCCCGTCTTTCGTATTCTCTGTGATCGGCGGTTTCTTCGGATGTAAAGGCTGCATTTAATCGAGTTCGAATTGTTCGCCCTAGCATTAGCTCCGAGGGGGTCCTTGCCGTTGCAGTATGTGGAGTGGTTCTGTATACCTCCAATGCAGATACCAACGCATCATCCCAGGATTCTCCCGAAAGCCGAAGGACTTGTAGAGATTCTTTCAAAGTACGATTAAGTCGTTCGACGAGTCCATTCGCTGCAGGATTATAAGGTACAGTCCTCGTGTGTCTGATACCATTGCGCCTTAGGAATTCAGCATACTCGTTACTTCGAAACTGTGGGCCGTTATCAGTGACTATTTCTTCTGGCAAACCGTACCTTGCAAACAAACAACGGAGCCACTTTATGATGACGGCTGTAGTTACGTCCCCGCATAGAATAGCCTCTGGCCATTTGCTGTAGAAACATGTAGCCACTAGCACGTTTCGCTTCTGCGGAGGTGCATTGGCAAACGGGCCCATAATATCGATGGCAATTTTTGCCCATGGCTTCATTGGGTACACGATAGGTTGGACTGGAGCATTCAGGGGCCTCGCACTCTTATCGGATTGTTGGCAGGCGTAACATTCCCGAATAACCGCCTCGACGCTGGAATTCAACTTCGGCCACCAATAGTATTGTCGTATCCGAGCTTTTGTTCGCACAATCCCTGGATGACCTTCATGCGCACATGCAACCACCATAGGAATAAGGGTTGCAGGGACCACAAACTGCTCGCCTCTAATAATGCAGTTGCTCACAGTAGAAAGCTCGTTCCGTAGGGTATAGTATGGAAGTAACTCAGGTTGGATCTTGGTACGACTGGGCCATGAAGTGGATATGTACTCCCGAAGCTTCGCTAGGACAGGGTCTTTGTCAGTGTGCTCTCGTATCAGGTCAAATGTTATTGTAGGTGTTCCGTCTGAGAGCTGCGATATCATTTTTACCTCCTCTAAGTCCTCGTTTTCCCCTTCGTTGGACAGTGGGAGTCTCGACAAGGCATCTGCAAGTTGGTTAAAGCACCCTGGCACGTATTTTATTTCATAATCATAGTTCAATAAACGTGAGTACCAGCGACTCAAGCGTACCGGCTTTTGGCCTTTGTTACCGCGACTTAGTAGCGTTGTAAGAGCAGAATGATCGGTGCGCAAAGTGAATCGACGTCCGAATAAGTAAAAGTGCCATTTCTCACATGCCCAGACGCATGCGAGGGCCTCCTTCTCGCCGGTGGAATAATTTCTTTCAGTATCAGACAAGGTACGTGATGCGTACGCAATCACTTTCTCCTCGCCATCGCGCAGCTGGGACAGAACTGCACCCAAGCCAACATCTGAAGCATCCGTTGAAACAAACGTTGGACAGTGCTCATTGAAGATCGCTACCGTGGGAGTGGATTCAATCATCGCTCGTATGGTCATGTAAGCATTGTCTTGTTCAGTGGCCCAACGAAACTCCTGGTTTTGGCGCGTCAACCTCCGTAACGGCTCGGCAATAGTCGCAAAATTCGGTAAATGTCGAAGGTAATAAGAACACAAACCCAAGAAATGTTTCATCTGTGTAACGTTGCATGGTTTTGGACAATCGAGAATGGCTCTGGTGTTCTGCACATTAGGCTTAATACCCGAGGTAGAAATAACATGTCCAATAAACTCGACCTCCGTTACAGCGAATTGGCATTTGTTGGTATTCAGGCGGAGATTTAGTTCATTCAGTCTATGCAGCACATTATGAAGGTTTTCCTGATGTTCGGTGGGGTTACTACCAAGACACAAATATCATCCATATACACAACACATCCTTTGAGATCTGATAACGATAGAGTAATAAATTTCTGCCAAGCTGCTGGGCACTACTAAGGCCCATTGGTAGCACTTTGTATTGATACAAACCGTCTTGCGTGAGGAAAGCAGTCAAATGTCGGCAATCTGGAGTCAGTGGCATGTGGTAGTATGCACTGCGAATATCCAGCTTTGAGAAAAGTTTGGCGTTTGATAGCTTAACCATCAACTCGTCGATAGAAGGCAGAGGGAACTTGTCCACAAGTATATGTCGATTAAGCGCTCGAAGGTCGGTGCATACACGAATAGAGCCATCTTTCTTTTGAACGGCAACTAGTGGATGAACCCATTCAGAACACTGTATGGGTTCTATCAAGTCTTCCGTGACCATATTTTTCAAAGCTTGCGACAACGCTTCTCGCTTGGCCAGAGGTACAGGCCTAGGTTGAGAAATGCTGAACGGTTTGTAATCCGCGCTCAACCGAATGCGGTGCATTGCTTTTGGGACTCTACCAATATCCGGAAGAAAGAGATTTGGGTAACTGGAACGTAACGAATGAAGGTTGACACTGGCAATGGTCATCCGGCTGACGCATGGTGATACGTTCAATAAGACCATGGCATTACGTCCCAATAGAGGCTTACTATCAGTTTTAGAGACGTAAACTTCAACTATACGCTTCCTGCTGTTTATAAGAAACATTGAAACCGTAACAAAACCGAGTATGTGGACATCACCATTGGAGTAGCTGCTGAAAGTGTAAGCGGAAGGATGTACAGTTAGCTGACCAAAATGCTGTTTGTAAAAACAATATGGCACAACTGTGATTGGTGACGCGGAATCTAGTTCCATGTCTAGACAAATGGTTTTGTTTCTAACTTCAAAAAACACACGACGAATATCTGGCGAAGGCAGTTTGGGTTCTTGAGTTGGAGACGAAAGTGGATGTTCGCATTCATTAACAACATATATAGATTGTTCAGTGGTGACCGGAGAAGCTCTAGAGTCATTTGCAGAATCAACTAAAGAAATGGCGCGGGAACGACAAACCCGAGCAAAATGACCGGTCTTACCGCAATTCCGGCAGATTTCACTCTTTGCAGGACATGACTTATCATTTGCACGATGTTCAGCATTTCCACAACGGTAACACTTATTTCTAACTGAGGATCGCGTCAGAGAGCGTGTAGAATCCAAACGGTCAATTTCAGTAGCTCCTGTGTTAGAGAGGAAAATTTTGTTTTGTTCCGTGACTGCGACCTTCGCGCGAGCCACGTCACAGGCCCTGTCCCATGTGAGCTTTTCTGCGTTCTCCATTAAGAGACTCTCTCTGATCCGAGAATCCGTGAGACCAGAAATCAATTGTTGTATTAGCATAGTTTCTTCCACTTTTTTCTTGGGAATACTATTGTAGTCACACTTTCGAACAGAACAAACAAGACGGGAAATGAATGCATCCACTGATTCACCAGATGCTTGTTTCAGCTGCGAAAAATTGTACCGAGAAGTATAGGTGTTCACTCGAACACCCCAATGTTTATCGAGGGCCGATAAGGCCTCTGTCAACGTGGGTTTCTCCCGCAAGTTTAGAGCATCAAATATACGTCGACCCTCTGAGCCGAGGTGCAAGCGCAAAAGCTTTAAAGTATCCTCCGTTTTCAGCGTCACGGATGGATTGAGAACTGGTAGCACAGAAATATAATCTGAAAAACTAATTTTCCAGTCTTCCAGCATTCTGCATTTGGGGTAACCGCAGAGTCAGTCCAGAACGGTGAAGGGCAGTAGCATGCAAAGACATCGGTAACACGCGACGCCAATTTGTTGTATCCCGAAAAAGCAGCAGACCAGAGCAGCACCGGAACGTATGTATGGAGGAAACTGTCCGCACACACGCGCAGTACAATTAAATCGATAGAGGTTCGCATTGCAACCAATCAAATGCAAGATCACATGATAGGCCAACGAGTGCTAAATAGAAGTGTGAGTAGGATAAGCGAATCGAGGGCAAAAACAAAGCAAAGTATTTGAACACGACAGCCTGATAGAAAGGAAACATTGTAGCAAACTTTGCCCTGTAAATAGAATGCAAATCCATGGAATTCTGTTTAACATAGTGCGGTCGTTGAGTTGGAAAGCCAAGATGTTTACCCGAGTAATGACAGTGCAGTATTGTCAACCCATTATTGTAAAAAGTTGCATTTTTCGCGCTTAGTACATCCACAGTTGCTAATGTAAATTGCTGAAAATGTACCAAAAGCTTGATTTGAATTGTTTTGAGTTAAAATATTGCGCAGTAGTACATTAACCGCATACTTGTCCCTCGGTGTTTGTTCATCCGTTGTTAGAAGAGGACGGAATCCCCTTTCCGACTTGCGAAAGATATTCACTTGTTTGTGCCGTAGTTTGTGATTCGATCTGGATCATTAGTTTAATACCTGTTAATACTCGAATTTTTCAGAGAGCACGAGTTGAATTCAATTTTAACGGTGGACAGCTTATGTCTTCCAGGTATTCTGAATTTGATCGGTTTTCTAAGCATGTCATGCAGTGTTTCTAGTAATCATACATTTTCATGTGCTGCACTGCACAAACGGCATCATGTTGGTCGAACCGATAGCTTTAGTTTCCGATACATCAGTAATCAAGGTGCTAAAACCACTAACAAATCTTAGCCAAACAATATCCAGTATATCTCCGGCTAAGAAATACCAGTTAGTCGTTTCAAGTAGCTTAGCTAATGTGTCGTATCGCGTTACGATCCGCAACGCTTGATTATCCTCCTTGGGGTGTTCTGCATATCAGGTATATATGAACGGCATGGTTGCATAATCACCGTAAGCTAGAAGCATCGATATTCACCCTCTAGACCAGTGGTTTCCAACCTGGGAGTAATTATCCAAGAAAGGGGAAATGGGATTTTACGAGAGAGCCTCGTTCCCCAGTCACTAACCAGTTAATAAACATGGTATAAAAGCATCAAATTATTAGTGACAAAGCATCAGTTAGTTGTTAGTGAATTAGACCATTCCAGGTAATAATTGTTGTTATGTAAAATACGAATAAGTGTTTGCACCGCAGAGCCGCCAAGCGGATCAATTATCGCCTCGCTCGTCGATTGTTGTTCGTTTCAGTTGGGTGGACATTCGCCGTCCCTTGACCAATTTCTGCAACGGAAGTTCGTGTCGCCAATTTCCCTACTTTCTGAACATATTACCGACATGAACTAAAATGCAAAGCAGGAAACCGAGTTAACTTGTGCATTAACAGAATTATTGGAATCCAAACATCAACCGACGCATTAAGTTATGTAGTCTATGAGTTAATAAGATAATCGGCTTTAAAATTGTGCTTTTTCTTGTTTAAATGATTAAATTAAGTAAAAAACAATTTGTTTGCTGTACTTTAAAGCAAAACATGCCATAGCTGATAATTACAGTCCAACCTGCTATGTCGACCACCGGTCTACGGGGACCAGACAAAAAACATCCCCAAAGTTTTCATTTATGAGCAATGTCCCTATACATGAACCTGTCCATAGGGACCACCTGTCCAATGCGACCACCTTCCATCTTTTCCTTGAGTGGTCGCACTAGACGGGTTTGACTCTAAGTTGTTTCCCGAAGAGAAAACAAATATTTGTATCCCAAGGACGATCGCAATGAGGTTGAACCTTATCGTGGTGCAACAGCTTGCATGCTTAAGTGATCCACTTAACTATGCTTGCTAGTGCTTTTTGCACCTTCAGAACCACTCATACTAGATTGATCAATTGTTAGAGGCCAGACAAACTCAGCCTCCTGATCCTCTAAGTTAGGGGTTGCAATGAGGGTGCTTCCTTATTCTTTAAAACTGACTCCTTGTAACCCACCGGCAAATCCGCTGTCTTGCTGTAAGGTTATTGAACCAAAGGCTTTGGTTGAGAACCCTAATCGTTCTCCTGGACAACCTGACAGTATTCTGCCCACGCAAGAATATGAATACGTCCTCAGACAACTTTTTGATGCTCTGGCTGTTGCAGAGGATAATCAATGGTGCCGTATCTTCTGCACCGAGCAGGGTTGATGGCGGTTTGGATGCTCCTGCTCAAGCCTTCCCGTCTTCTTGTTCCCCCGAGTACGCTTTTTCCCACTTATCACCCCTTTCCTGCATCACTTTTATCCCCCTGTTTTCAAACCCCAATTTTTGACCCCCACGTTGCTTTGATAGGCATTTACCTGCTAGTTTCAACGCACCTGCGAACGTGGAGCGTCAATATTTTCCTGTCCACAAGCCCATGTCCAAGCAAGCGGGCAAACCCAGTTCATCGGCTACCATTTGGAGCCGTCGATGCTCTTTCAGATTGGCATGCCACTAGGTGTGCAAAATGCTACAGATCCGTCAGGAGGTAGCACCTGCCCAAACATTAGAGACCCACTAAATCGATATCTGCTGCTTATCGGAGACCCGCCTACAAGCTCGCTATTGACGTTGCGATCCACATCAAGTGACAGCAGCAACATTTTTTCATGGTGTCTACCCAGTAGCGGTGCAGATTCGAGCAACGGCCAAGCTGGTGTTGGCATGGCCCTGAGTCCCCAGGATGAACCTGCTCTGGTTTATTGGATCCCAGTCAATAGCCGTATGTGTGCGGTCTGACTGGGTGGCTCGTTCAATGCTTCAACGTTGGGCTGGACTAACAGGTGTCTATTCATCATCGCTACCTACGAGCTCACAAACTGTAGTGAGGATTTGATAAAACACGACTTCTACCGCCAACTGAATGAGCTCCTTCGTC